TAATAAACAGAATACAACAATAGAATAGAAAATACATAAGGAGAGAATAAACAGAACAGTCAGATATTAACTGGAGGGAAGGCCTGAATATATAGCCATGTTTTTAATTGACTTTTAAAATTACCCAAAGTGGGGGCCGCGCGGATCTCAGGAGGGAGATTGTTCCACGAGTACACAAATGTGTGTGTGTTAGAGGGAGTGAAGGAATTTATAAAGTACAAAGCAAGGGTGCATTGTGCTGTCAGGTGCCTTCATGTCACTGCCAAATTATGCTAACTTTAATAGGGATTTCTGTAGGTGATCACGGAACAGAGGAAGGCTAATTGCCTGGGAACAAAGGAGTTGACAGGGATGTCCCGAGACAGGAGCCTACAGGCAACGCCCTGAGAGCTCTTTTTATTGACTTAGCATGAGTTACATAGTATGTTGTGAGAATTCAGGATACTAGTTGCCTAATCGCCACTAGGTTTGGCTGAAATAACTCTTAGATCTTATGCTCTACCTCTAAGTGAAAGGGCAGAATAAGGGTTTACCCCACCTGCTGGCAGCTGCCACTTCCTGCCAGGAGTGTATGCACGTCACTGGAACAGAATGCAGCTACAACCTTTAAGCAGATGTTTCCCACAGTTTTCAAGATAGGGAAGGTGTTCAAGGAGTGCTTTACTGTTGGCAGTCCTTCCACCCCAAGGGTTTCCATTAGTAAGCAGAGATATGAAACCAAAGGCTTCTGAGTCCTAGGACGCTCAACAGTGAACATTTGTTGAACTTCCTTTTCACTGATGATACCCGTACTGTACCCTAGTGGGAACATGATGCACACTAGTGTAAACAGAATCAAAGAATGAAAAAAACCCCACCCTTGCCCTCTGGGATTCTTTTACACCATTTCCAAGTGGTGGTGTATTTTTATTCTGGTTTCTTTCAATTTGCTCCTGTGCACAACTTGCTCCTTGAAAATGAGGTCTTTTATTTGCCTCAAATAAATGATGTGAGGCTATCCACAGGTGAAATTAAGTTGAAGATTTATTTAAATCATAGCAGATAAACAAGGAATAGGATCTTTAAAATGAAGAAACAATATAAAAGAAACGAGAAGAAAATCAGTTAATGCAATGCAATGAGGAATTGTCATTTCCTCATTGCATTGAATACAACGCAACGTGGAAATCACAACAGTAAAGCAGAATAATCTGGATTAATGTATAAAATGAAATTGTAATTATGCAAAATTTGCCAGAGCTAACCCTTTGTAAAACACTGAACTTGCCCCTAACCAATAAGACAGTAAAGGATGTGTACAGAAGCTATAATGTAACCCATTGTGAAAACTGAAGCTTCACTTGAAATCAAGGCAAATTAAAGCCCAAAGGCCACAGAGCAATCAAAATCTGCAAAAGTAAAAATTGCAGGAGAAAAGGTCACCAAAAAAGCATGAGAGTGTAAGTGAGGTTAACTCTGCTTCTCTTCTTCCCATACAGCAATACATTTTGACACCCCTAATTCTATTGCATTTTGATAGGCTTCTTTATCTTCAATCTAAAATGCAGTTCTGTGTTGATAAATGGCAAGTTGGGAGAGAAAGTGCATG